CACCCATCCCCTCTGACCCGTGGGACACCCTGTGCTGTTGGCAGGTGTTCGCCAACGAGGTGAACGCGCACCGCGACCGCATCATCGAGCTGGACCAGACTGGCAACCAGCTGAAGTTCCTCAGCCAGAAGCAGGACGTGGTGCTGATCAAGAACCTGCTGGTCAGCGTCCAGTCCCGCTGGGAGAAGGTGGTGCAGCGCTCGGTGGAGAGGGGACGGGCTCTTGATGATGCCAGGAAGAGAGCCAAGCAGGTGAGGAGCATGGGAAAGGTGTGCCAGACCCCAGGGAAGGGCCAGCAGCACCACCGAGGGACTGGGGACACCACCAGTGGGAAGTTTCAGGCTTGCTTGCATTGCCTTGCAGTTCCACGAAGCCTGGAAGAAGCTGATTGATTGGCTGGAGGATGCAGAGAATCACCTGGACTCAGAGCTGGAGATCTCCAATGACCCTGACAAAATCAAGCTGCAGCTCTCCAAACACAAGGTGAGCCAGGCTGGTTCTGGATGGGGTGCAATGCTTTTCTCCTGTCCATGCCTCCCATTCCCATGGAAATCTGGGAATCCTCACAGCATTTCCAGGCTTTCTGGAGCAGTTTTGTTTTCTCTCCGTTTCCCAGGAGTTCCAGAAGACCCTGGGTGGGAAGCAGCCTGTGTATGACACCACCATCAGGACAGGCAGAGCCCTCAAAGAAAAAGCCTTGCTTCCAGATGACACTCAAAAACTGGACAATTTGCTGGGAGAAGTCAGGGATAAATGGGACACAGTGTGTGGGAAATCCGTGGAAAGGTGAGCCCAGCCCCAAGGCTGCACCAGGGAGGGTGTGGTGTCACTGGGGTGTGACAAAATGAGGTGAGTTTGGTCATGGATGTTCACTGGGGTGTTTGTTTTCCAGGCAGCACAAGCTGGAGGAGGCCCTTCTGTTCTCTGGGCAGTTCATGGATGCTCTGCAGGCTCTGGTGGATTGGCTCTACAAGGTGGAGCCCCAGTTAGCTGAGGACCAGCCTGTCCACGGGGACCTGGATCTGGTCATGAACCTGATGGATGCTCACAAGGTGAGAGCAGCTTTCCCCCTGAGTCCTGAGTGGGGCAAAAAGATGCCCCAAAAGATGCCCAAAATAAAACAGACTTGGATGTTGGAAGTGGATGACTCCCCAAAGCTCTGGCTTTAATTTAGGCAGTGATTACAGAAATGTCTGCAACAAAAATTGAAAATGGATGCTCACGTGGTGAGAGCACCTTTCCCCAGCTCTTCTCCAAGTCCTGAGTGGGGCAAAAAGATGCCCCAAAAGATGCCCAAAGTGGATGTTGGAAATGGATGACTCCTGAGAGCTCTGGCTTTAATTTAGGCAGTGATTATAAGAATGTCTGCAACAAAAACTGAAAAATAATGAGAATTGATTCATCCTCACCAAAAGCCAGAGAGCAGACACACAGTTGGTGCTTTGCTGCTTGTCCTGCTTTCCTGCAGCGGATAAAAAGGGGAAAAACAGCAAAAAAACGGGGAGAACTTCCACATTACTGAAAAGGTGATAACAGAGGAGCTTCCTGGCCTTGCTCAGCTTCTGCTGTGTCCGTGCAGGTGTTCCAGAAGGAGCTGGGGAAGCGCACGGGGACGGTGCAGGTGCTGAAGCGCTCGGGCCGGGAGCTCATCGACAACAGCCGCGACGACACCACCTGGGTGAAGGTGCAGCTGCAGGAGCTCAGCAACCGCTGGGACACGGTGTGCAAGCTGTCTGTGTCCAAACAGACCCGCCTGGAGCAGGCCCTCAAGCAGGTGAGGAGAAAAGGCGTGACTGGAAACTCTTGGGGTGCTTTG